AATGCTCAGAGTTTTGGAAGGACTACAACAGTTTGAAATGTATAATGAACATAGCTGCAGCATGGGATGAGGTTACAGGTCAGTGCATGAATGGAATATGGAAGAAAGTCCTGAAAAGATATGTGAACAGTTTCAGAGGATTTAATGAAGATGAAGTAATTTCTGGGATTAGTAACAAGACAGTGGAGGTGGGTAAACAGCTTGAGTTAGAAATTGATAATGAAGATGTTGAACAGTTGGTTGAAAGTGTAGCAGAAGAGCTAAGTAACGAGGATCTTATCGAACTGGAAGCACAGAAAAATGCAGAGGAAGAAGAGAGAGTAAATTTAGAAGAACCTGCACCCCCAAAAATTTTTCAGTAAAGCAAATGGCAGAGGCATTTGCGACAATTACTAAGGGGATGCAAATGTTTGACGGAATGGATCAAAATGTTGAGCGTTTTGCCAAAGTTGACAGAATGGTCCAAGATGCACTTGCTTGCTACAGGGAGATTTATAACAAACAGAAAAAGTAAACTGTGCAGTCTAAATTGGACATCTATTTTAAGAAGTCCCCCATTGCTGTCTCCTTACGCCCCACCACTGCTGCCTCTTCACTCCCTAAAGATGATCCAATACCTTCAACCAGCAAGTTTCCACAGTACATAAACCTGTCTGAAGAAAGTGACATTGATGACCCACCCAGCCCTGTCTCCTCCTCTGCTTCATCCAATTAATATAGTCTCCATGTATACCTGTAAATAGAAAATTATGGGGGACCCGTGTGCATTCAGCTGACTACATTAAAGGTAAGTGCACAGTAACACTGTATTCATTCTTCATTATTGATTATTTTTACTGTATAGTGGTTCCTCGGTTAACGAACACAATTCTTTCCACAGAGTCGTTTGTTAACCGAATCCATTGTTTCAATGGGATATTGGGTAATTGGTTCCAGCTCACAGAAGAGTACATACAAAGTATAAACAAAATGCAGTAAAGTACACTTACTTTGAGGTGTGTATGTAGAAGGCTCCTGGCTGATGATGATGATGGGAATTAGAAGTGGGGGTGGAGGTGGAGAAGGGAGAAGAGAAGGAAGTGTGAATGGAGGAGAAATCGCCTTTCTTCGAACCCATGCTTGATGCAGTAATTTCACCAATAAAATTTTAAGTTCACTAGCTGTAATTCAATATTATTTTATTTAAATCAACACTGCACTGCGCTATATATTATCAATATGTTAACTAAATTTCAGAATGACCCATAATTTTAATGTAAAAATGCAAAAATATTCAAGACACCAACAAAATTGATGTTCACTCCACTGTCAACCATGCCAAACTGACACCTGGTGGCTGAGTCAAGCTGCTGATGGGCGCACAAAAAACTAGTTCCTTGTACTGCATATATTATCAATGTTAATTAATTTTAAAAGGACTAATAAATGTACAGTGAACCCTCACTTTACGCGGTTAATTCAACCCACAGGGTACTGCGGAAAGTGAGAAACGCGTAAAGTGAACAACATAACATATGGGATTAAATGAAATAGAGACCGGCTGACCCCCAAACTCCACTTTTTCCGACACAATACCGTATATCACGGCCTATAAGGCGGCGGGGTGCATAAGACGCCCCCCCCAAATTTCCATTTAAAAAGTAGCTTTTGAGCTCTATTTGCTGTATAAGACCAGTACCCCAAATGTGACACTTACCCACTGACTCAGTAGTCCTTTACCAACCATCCTTGATTTTTTAAAATAAGGCCAATTCACTTCAAGTAATGTCATCAAATTATACCCGCTGGTGTAGTGTAAACACTAGTGACGTCACTGAAGCGTGGTGGGAGTGTTCCCTCGTCTTGGTGGTGTGACTATTTATACAACATGTGGTTCAACAGCAACCACCGTATTCTAATTGTGGTGTTTCATTAGGATTTGAGTGAAAAAGGTTACCAGTATGTACTTACTACATACATTTATTACACAAATATATATATATATATATATATATATATATATATATATATATATATATATATATATATATATATATATATATATATATATATATATATATATATATATATATATATATATATATATATATATATACTGAATATACTAAGTACAAAAAATGAATGTTCAATGAATTATTTATGGTGCATTAGGGTACTGGCCACTTCTGATGGGCTATAAATAGCTTTATCTCCCCTCCATCTCACCCTGAGCCAGACGGAAGGGTCTTGGTAAATAACATGTTTGCTTATTTTCCATTTACTTTAAATAGATTTACCGAATTATTTGTTTTATTTATTTATTTATAATATACTGTAATATATTAAACACACTGTAATTATTTTCTTTAATTTATAAACTGTTTTGCGACAAAGGAATGTTCTCCAGTAGTGTTTCATTAGGATTTGAGTGAAAAAATATTACGTACTTACACAATTTTTCCTCTTACTTTGACAACACAACATACATACAGTATATTATTTCTCAGTTTTGATCTTTTTTTTTAATTTTTGTATTTATTTATAGTTAGTTACTTAAAATAAGGCCAATTCACTTCAAGTAATGGCATCAAATATTACCAGCTGGTGTAGTGTAAACACTAGTGACGTCACTTGAGCGTCTGTAATTAACCGTCGATAGTTTCAAGAATTAATGCACTTTTCCTTTCTTGTCTCCTCACTGGCAAATGGGGGGGGGCGTGGGGAGGGGTGTGTGATGATAGCTGTGTTTATTACAGGGGTATAAATCTCTTTTACGGTATGTTAGACAGGTTTATAATACATTTTTATTATTTTAATATACCGGTAATCTTAATTTGAATCCAGCTTGCCAAACGTAAGTTTCAGTATAAAATAATTAGTGGTAAGACCTTGTGAGTGGCTTATGATGTTTTCATCACCACTCTTGACACACTAAACCACAATATTTAAGAGGTAAGAATTTTAAACTTGGTGGTTTAGACGACCCCCTAACTTTGGGCAGATTTTTTTAATGTTCAAATTTCGTCTTATAGGCCGTGATATCGTTACACATAATTCTAGTAAAAATATCATCTTAATTTTATGATGGTACATGCACACAATTAATACTTAAGAGAAATAGAGAAATACAGTTGCCAAGTTAATGTCCATTCAAATAATGGACTCAACTCCCTCCCCCTCTTCTCACACTACACTGCTGGTTCTTCCCTCTGAGAAATTTTGGGGGGAAAACCACTAGATTTTAAGGTATAGTAATAAATAATACCTCAATTAAAGTTAGGATAATATAATTGACATTGCTGGATTCCTTGTAAGACCAGGAATATTTTGAATATAAAGTCATATTTTGCACAAAAGATAACATATTTACTCAGAGTAAACAAAATACTTACATTAGATCTAAAATTTGTATGTCTAATGCAAAATCTATGATGTTTATATTCAAAATGACCATCAAATTGTAAGAATTCCAGTAATGTAAATTATATTCTGGCCGGATAATTTGTATGAATTTTATGAGCTAAATAAAAAAAATTATACTTCACCCGCGTAAAGGGGTACACGCACCACGGAATGTGAGTATTCCGGTTTCGGCAGGGTACTGCGTAAACGTGGAAACCGGAATGTGGGACCGCGTAAAGCGAGGGTTGACTGTAATGTAAAAAATGCAAAAATATTAAAGAGCATAACTTTCTTGATATTTACTCCACTGGAAATGAATGTAAACATAGAACAGACTACTGAATTGGCAGACTAGCCCATCAGCTGATCAGCTGATGCTCACAACAAAACGTGTTTATTGTAAGGATTTCGTTAATCGAAGTTTTGTTCGTTAAAGGAATTGAAGATCCTTATGGGAGCTAATTCATTAACCGATGTTGACCTGGCGAGTTATTGCTTGGCATTAACATACCTAGGTATAAGCTAGGCATGCTTTCAAGAGAACATGATCCTCACATCTCCCTTAGCAGACAGTCGTAGATGATTATAAAGGAAGTCATCTCACTAAGGGGTAAATTTCTCAGTCAGAAGAAATTAATTGTGTTAGCTTGGTGGGTGGCACAAGTCAAAGCGGCCTAGATACGCAGTGGAGCGGGGCTTTTAAAGGGACCTTGACGCTAAAGCCTTGCTACCAAGACACAGATTAGAAGCATTTATCATAGTAATAATAAAGATCAATATTATTAGTACTGTTATTAAGCCGACGACTAGAAGTCCATCACATGGTAAACTGGTGGGTTTAAGACTTGAGTAGATCCGTACAGCGTTTGCACGCAAAGTTGTATCCCTTCAACATTACATTACATAACATTTTAAAATATGGAGTGAGAAAACAGAAAGCTGTGTGGGTGATTAGAGAGACGGAGTGGAAAGGAGTAGTATAATATACACCAGTGTTGCCAAGCGATAAGCTTCTCAACAGCTGATCTTTTAATTCACCTTCAAGCAGTCACACTACAAGACTGGATGCTTGTTGTCTTAATTCCCATGTGTATGTGTTTAAAATTTTTTCGTAATATTTGGTAAAATTTTGAATTATGAAAGATATTTACGAATATATATCACGCACATGTCACCATGGGATGTGACCAACTGCCTCAGTGTAAACACGTTGGTCACGATCAGTTCACGTTAGTGAGTCATGGGGTATACATCTACGGTATACCTCACAAGGTTCTTCCACTTGTTTTACTATCATTGCCCTGTGTTTGAGCCATTATATCTGGTAACCCTGGACCAAGCACCTAAATCTGGCACTGTACTTAGAAACATTAAGGTTTAAAGAAAGAAGAAAACACGAAGTTCCCAAGCGCTTTCGTGTAATTCACATCTTCAGGGGTGAGCACAGACTAGAGAGAGAAATACAAATCAAGGTGTATATATACAGAGAAGGGTGAGACCAGGTCCACAATGGTCAGGTATTAGGTAATGACCCTACTAATCTTTAAATAGCACACAATGGTTGGTGGTCAGGTCAGATGGTCAGGTGACCCGGCCTTCTCACCTGGTCACAAATCTTCTTAATTACAAAATTGTCCAGCTTGTGCAAGCTGGACAATTTTGTGGTTATCAGCATATACCTAGATCACGCGCACCTACAGTGATTTACTTGCATTAAGGTTTAAATGGAAAGTTCCATTGATTTTCTTCCCCTCTGGTGGTGTCCCTCTAATTTTGTAAAATCTCATATTTTGTAAGGGCTAGAGCCCTTATTTTTTCGAATTATGGGAGTTTTACTGTATATGCTTAGTAAGAGATTTTAATTGTGTTAGTCAAAATTTTTTGTGCATTATTAATGTCAAAAAAAACACACACACACACACACTCACTTCCTTCCTTCCTTCCTTCCTCCCTCCCTCCCTAAGTGAATAAACACTGCTTAAAGAGTAGTGATGTACATTCGTGAACAAAAGTCAAGTCCTGTCACCTCTATTGTTCCACAAACCCTGAGATTCAGACTCATGAATCTGAAGCATTTATGGACAGAGTAATGCCTCGTGTCAGCTGCTTTGGGTTCATGAGCCTGAATCTCGCAGTTTGTGGAGTAGCAGGAAAGGTGACAGGACTTTTGTCCACAACTGTACACAACAAATTTTGTGGCTTGTTCCAGTCCTGATTGTTGTATACTATGTAGTGATAAGAGTGAAAAAGGAGTTTGTTTTTACAGGTAAAACTAGACACAGCCAGGACATACAAGACTTACAGTAGTATTAGCCCAAGGCAGAAACAAGGTCAAGTGGATACACCATCAACATCCAGCACTAAGAAAGACTGGATTAATTAGTCATAAAAGTTATATACAATTGCATAACTCATTCTTAGAGCACCTACATGTTATTACTTATGTAAGCTATGACCTGACTTTTGATGGATTTTAGTTTGCCTTGTTGCATTTTGTAATGAAAACTTGCAAAACAGGAATACTGTAAAAGAGTTATGTTTTGAGGAATAGACATTGAATAAGAGCTTCATATGTTAATAGTTGATATCTTGATATCTTTCAACCTTTAGTGGGTCACAATAGTGAGCCACTAAAGGTTGAAAGATATTTTTTCTGTTAAGTGAATCATATTTGTTTATAATTTCAAAGGTACAGTAATGATCATGTTGGAAATTGAAGTGTTTTTAATTCTCTAAATATTGATAGGTCTAGATTTTTTCTTCTTTTTCGAATCTGGAAATACTTGGAGCTTAATTTTTTTTATTCCTCAATAATTGATAGGTTTAGATTTTTTTATCTCAAAACACTTACAGCTCTAATAGATGGATATATTTTCTTTGTAAAATCTCATTATTGATTTAATCTGAAGTGGTTTGACATTATATCATCCTCTATAAATAAAGAACCATATCTAACCCCAAAAGACAGTCAGTGCCAGGTCAGTTTTGGCTGGAATCTGGAATTGATGTTAAGACCACATTTCACATAAATGTCAACATTAAAATGATATAGACTGCCAGGTGGGAATTTCTTGACCATGTGAGATAGTTATGAGTGATTAAGACATTAAGTGGTAGCAGTAGTACAGGTTGTACAGGTTGTATTTATTTTGTGGGAGGGGGGGGTACAATATTGCTTCCTGTTCTTTCCTGCAAGACAAGATGGAATAAGTTTAGTAGTGAATTTTTTTAAATAATAATGACACATACTGTACAGCCCCATTTGTACAAGATTACTTTCATTACCAGACACCCTCATAATGCTACCAGTCATTACCAGACACCCTCATAATGCTACCAGTCATTACCAGACACCCTCATAAGGCTACCAGTCATTACCAGACACCCACATAAGGCTACCAGTCATTACCAGACACCCTCAGAAGGCTACCAGTCATTACCAGACACCCTCATAAGGCTACCGGTCATTACCAGACACCCTCATAAGGCTACCGGTCATTACCAGACACCCTCATAAGGCTACTGGGACACCCTCATAAGGCTACCAGACACCCTCATTACCAGACACCCTCATAAGGCTACCAGTCATTACCAGACACCCTCATAAGGCTACCAGCCATTACCAGACACCCTCATAAGGCTACCAGTCATTACCAGACACCCTCATAAGGCTACCAGTCATTACCATACACCCTCATAAGGCTACCAGTCATTACCATACACCCTCATAAGGCTACCAGTCATTACCATACACCCTCATAAGGCTACCAGTCATTACCATACACCCTCATAAGGCTACCAGTCATTACCATACACCCTCATAAGGCTACCAGTCATTACCGTACACCCTCATAAGGCTACCAGTCATTACCATACACCCTCATAAGGCCAGACACCCTCATAAGGCTAACACTGTGTTGGAAATTTTACAACAAATCTCCTGTTTGTTTAAGTGTTGATTTCTTCACATTTTACCAAGTTACTAAAACTTTGAGAGAGTTATTTTGTGGAATAAGAAATGTTATTAGTAAATTTGGTGCTTGTAACATTGACTTCGTTATTGTTTATACTTTTTTGTGGCTACTGTATCCTGAAGGTATATCGAATTTTACTTTTGTTTTGAATACAGTAATGAAAAGTTTGTGTATTATTATTTTGTGTACTGTACCTCAACAGTATATTATTGAATTGCAAGTTACCATTAAAAATTATAATTTTTTTTTTTTTTTTTATGTCCATGCTGTGTTACTGTTTAAGAAATTGTTTTTGTGAATTTTTTTCAGATGAGTTTTACTTATTTATTTATACATTTCACAGTTATCTATTATTTGCAGATGACACTCAGGATGTACCCAAGAAGTTACTATACGACATTTAACCCTTCAATATGTCTTCAAAGAGACCATGATGCAAAGAAAGTGGTGCTAGTGCTTCCAAGCATAAGCACAAGTCACTATCTATCCAGGAAAAGGGTGAATTTCCATGGTCCGGCACCGGTCAGGTCCCGAGGTTGCCGGACTAGAGAGGTACAACCTGTATAAACAATCTATATTTGCAATAGACATAACAATTTTAGTACCGTACTCATTTAGTACATGTACAGTACAGGTTTGCGCTTAGGTTCATTGTTAACCGAGGGACCACTGTATTGCAGTGTACTTGTACTGTACAATATTGACTAAATTCTTTAGATAACGTACACAACTAATGGTTGGTAAAACTTGTCAAGTAAGTGAGTGTCAAGTCTGTCAGTATGAGTGGCACGTGTGAGTGCTTGTGTCCCCCATCATAGGATTCCGTTTTCTCTCGCTTCAGGACGCCTGAGTCCGTTTTCTCTTAATCTTAGAGTGTAGTGCACCAGAGACTTCGTTATTCCTTAGTAATGACACAGAATTTGAAATTGCAACCCCAATTGCAACTGGGGTTGCAATTGTTGAGGCAACTAAATAGGTCTGATTACAGCAAATGTGTCATTGTCAATTTGTAGGTGAAAGATTTTATTATCAATAGATGTAGGTTAACATTACACCTGGAGTCAAATCTAATATACTATAGCGCTAGGTGTGTGTGTGTGTGTGTGTGTGTGTGTGTGTGTGTGTGTGTGTGTGTGTGTGTGTGTGTGTGTGTGTGTGTCTGTGTGTCTGTCTGTCTGGGCAGCCGAAACGGCACAATCGTTTTTCATCAAACTTGGTGGAAAAATCGCAAAAAATTCGTATAGTGGAACAAACCTGGTCCCATATTGATGGTTTCTTTAGGAACCCATTACATAACCATTTTATTTACGCTGGAAAACGATGCAAGTCTACGGACTTGGCGCACCCTCATTTGCTGGATGCTGTCAGCCCACGATTGCAGTTATCGTACGGCTCCCTCCTCCTCCCCCCACTTTTTTTCTTAGCCTACTTTTTTTTAATGTTGTTTGGATTAGTAAAGGAAGGAAGATGAGTAAATAGAAGAATAAAGAAGGGGGAAACAGAAAATACTTAGAGATAACAGGTGGGGGGAGCTGAGTTTCATCATGCGTCTGGATGCGCAGTTTCAACGTTACCAGACGACCTTACAGCTACAGTGTATACTTATTCCTGTGGGTGACTGTACATCAGAAAAGGAGAAGAGATAAAAAGATAATAACAGGAATGCATGGAGAAACTGACTACAATAGACACGGTGAATATAGACAGTGAAACAGACAGGAGGTTGACAAAAATAGACAGATTCATACATGCGCAAATAGACAATATGGCAACTAACATGACAGACAAACAGCTGATTGACTGATTCACATTAGTAAAGACAGGCTTACATTCAAACACCACGCAGATGAACAGACAGTTGGGATGGCAATAGGCAGGACGGATAGACTTGAGACAGATTAGAAGGCATTTATAAACAAGAATAACACCAAATTGACCATAGCTGCATCAGTGAGGGTAGGAGGTCTTACATCCACCAGCGTAAATAATAAGACGCATTGAAACCTAACACCCACGCGCGGAAAGAACATCAATGGTCGGTCAGTCATGTGAGATGGGCCTAAAACTGACTAACATTATGATGACTTAACACAGGTGATGACTTAAGCAGATGGTGACTAATCTAACCAGAATCATGGTCACTTCTCTTCATAATATAATTTATCTCGGAATGATCATCGGTGATTCATAATAATTTTCTTTTTATGATTTTAACCTCTCCTTATGGTGAATATTTCTTTTAACTAATTATTCTAACAACCACGACCATGAATATAACAACCACGACCATGATTATAACAACCACGAACATGATTATAACAACCATGACCATGATTATAACAACCACGATCATGATATAACAACCACGACCATGATTATAACAACCACGACCATGATTATAACAACCACGACCATGATTATAACAACCACGACCATGATTATAACAACCACGACTATGATTATAACAACCACGACAATGATTATAACAACCTCGGTAAACTGTACCACCGGACTCGCCACCGGGCACGAAGTGCCCACGATCACTTGTGCTTACTAAAGCCTAAGGAAGAATATTCCTTTAACACATAATATCTGGCCAGTATGGGGAGGATCATCGTGTCTCCGTCAGGGTGTCGTGGAGTGGTGGTCCAGCAGGCATCACGGAAGTGGGTTTTTTTTGGGGGTTGGGTGCACGGACGTGTATGCGATCGGACGTTGTCAGTTGGACGTTAACCGGCGCATGACTGTACTCGTGTTCATTATACAGTACGGACAGAACATCCGCAGTTACAGAATTTTTGGGGGTGAAGCATAACTAGAGTATATAAAAGACCTTCAAGAAAAAAAATCCAAACTTCGTTCAAATTAAACTCCATAACAAAGAAGCGCTCTTAAGACAACATTACCACCATTACTATCGTCACTGCATGTTTATCTACCCATGAGTTTGTTTACGAGAAGGAAAGTCCAAAGCCCTTAAAGTGGTAAAACATTTATTCATTTACTGATATTAACATGATCACAATTGTTTATTCTTTTTCATAATAAAAAGACATTACCCCCGTACAGTCAATTCCACTACAACGCGATAGTTGCGTTCTTGTGAAACCACGAGCTATAGAAATTTGCGCAATAAAAATAACGGCTTATGGAGAAAATAAGGTTAGGTGCACGAACAATATCCTTTCATTGCGTTCAAAATGCTTAATAACATTGAGCTTCTCTTCAAGTGTTATAGCCTTTCTTTTACGTTCACCACCATTAATTCGATCACCAGAACACTTCTTGGAAACATTTTTCTTACCTTGTTTTTCCATATTCATGGCTAACACAACAAACTTGGAGAAAACAGCGAAAATCACGGAGGACATCTCATAGAGCAATCAACAAAAATTGCGCGATTCAACTGATCACGTTCATGTAAGCAGAGAGCGGTGGTGTAAACCGTTATTAGTCCGCACTGCGAAACATTCTTTTTACTTAATCTTTTCATACAGTATTTATGGGTAACAGCTAATTTGCAAAAAAAGAACAAAATTTACAGAGTACCTCTCGAAACACTCCACTTCACAAACAAAACACACGAATCAATTGAACATGTGATGTTGAACATGAACTGTAAACATTGCATAACCCTGCGCCAGTGCGCCACGCTACACTTAAAACATTGAGGATGGAATCGTGTTATAGCCAACATTCGTATACAAAAGTTCGCGTTTTACAAACAGCGTTCCCCTATTCATCAATAGCATTACAACCAATTCGCGATGACAAAGCATGCTTTGTAGCAGAAATGACTATTAATTTTTGTATGGTAGATTGAGGAAGGTAAATGTGAACATTCATTTCCATTATTGAGGTCTAGGAAGCAAACAGGCAGTTACTATCACTTTAATATCCTAATTTTATATAATTGGAACATGGAGGAGATAGAAAAGGTTTTTGACTTTCCACATACGGTATACATTAACTAATTTGTTATAAAGCCACTTTGAAAGCTTTTCAAATTCAGATATACCCTGTATGAAAAAAAATCTTGTAAATGTGTGTGTGTGGCAACAATGGTATGCATTCTCTTTATGGTTAACATACACTATTGCTCTAATGTAATTATTGATATTTAGATACCATAGCAAGTTATGAATCACACTAAATCAAAGTACAGTGATCCCTCGGTTAACGAAATTTTGATTAACGAATTACCTTCCATAAGAT